CCCCCCGCCTCCGTGGCTCCCCCCCCCCCCCCCTCCTGGACCCCTTGTTCTATCCCATGTGTTTTATTTAACTTTATAATCATACATTACAGGACACAAGATTAGTGTGAGCCATAGGTTATATGGCCACCTTGAGGTGATTGGACACTAGCAAAAACAAGCTGCGATGAGCCCCTCCCATTCCCCAGCAAGCTTCAGTTTTTTGCTAGTTTCCTTAGGTGATTGAAGTCTTCTCTCTACTGATACAAACTTGCCTCCTTTTTGTGGATTTTTTTCAAGATTCTGTTAGTAAGTCATTACCGCTCCATAGCCACTGTGGCTAACTTTCTTCAATGTTCCGAAATTATCTGGGACTTGCAGCATTGTACTCAGACTTTGGCTATAAGACATGGGTCTGGCCTGTAATGTTGCTTTGGGCACTAGAGCTTTTATTAGGCACTCACCTTGGCATGTAGTGCAATGCGTTTAGGAAGCCACAGGGTGCTATACAGGTCCATGGCTGTGGTCCAGCAGCCAGTGTCCATAAAGACCCCTTGGGGGATATGCCCACAGAGGAAGCCAGGATGGCGCTTGTCCCTAAAATTGAGGAAATCTTCCATGGTGAGTTGGTCCTAGTTCCCTTCCCTGAGTCTGCTGCAATGCACAGCCATTGCACCTGCTCAGACACCATTGTTCACTGTACATGCGCACACAATTTTCCTCTGTGGTGTGCATGGGTCTGGTCAGGTAATTTCTGCTCCCACAGCACATCATTGCTCGGACGTCTATTGGCCCCAGCTGCATACAGTGCCTGGCATTGAAGGGTTTAACCATTCTTTCTTTGCAGTGGTCAAGGTCGTGACTACCCCTTGGGGGACATTCCGCACTACACATCAGATCATAAGCACATTGCCAGTTAGCGCTTGGAGAATGATGCTGGGGGAAGGGGTTTTTAGTCTTTCCCTAAAGGAAACATAATAATAATTTTAAATCTGTATCTCTTCTCATGCTTGGGGAGAACTTCCCTTTGCAGCTGAGTGCCTCTTCCTGTAGTGCTGGCTCAGGTTGTGAACCTGCACACAGACACCATGTATCCATTTCAGAGACAAGGCAGTCTGCTGCAAAACAGAAGTTCTGCCCAGCATGAGAACAGATACAGATTTAAAAGGAAGAGCAGCAAAGAGAAGAAACAACCATGGATTACAGTAAGGCACACATTACAGTATTGTTTTATGTTAAAAAATCTGAGGGTTTAATGTCACTTTAAGCTTAGAAGCCCAAACTAGGTTTAGCTGCATTCAAATGCATCAGTTAACGTGGCAATACATTTGTGACTAATTATTTTGATTGACAGTGGGTCTGAGAACTGGAAATGCACAGTTACAAATTCCTAGTTCTCTGTTGATAGTTTAATTAACATTCCCATGGTAAGCAGCATTTTTACATTTGGACTTATAAGTTCGTATTGTGGTCGCAAAGGGGTTAAAGTGAAATGCACAACATAAAACTTTTTCTTTACAGCTAGATACATGTGGCTACAGTGAAAACTCAATAATACAATTAGAGTTCACTGCTACTAAACTAAATCTAAGCAGAACCCTGCTTAGATTTAGAAAACTGAATTAAAGTGTGCCTGTTGACTCGCTTTAGTTACTAAAGAAGCTCGGGACCAAAGAACAGACACCATCACCTAATAGCCTCTGACTATCTTCACAACCCCAGGATTTCTTAAAATCTGGAGTACTGTATTAAGTAAATATCAATTATCACTTCTGTGGTTTAAACTCTGCCTTGCCCTTTACACACCTCCACCAAATATTATTCCCTACCAGTGTGACCAATAGGAAGCCACAGGGGTGAGATTAAACAAGCTAGAAGTCAACCATAGAACTTGTGGTCATAATAAAGCGTCCCTTGTTATGGGTCTTGGCTTTATCCATATTAACTTTTTTGAGTTAATATGGTTTTATTTTTAGAGTAGTTGCATGAATGTACATTTCTCAATACATGAATGAGTCTTGGGCATAATGCATATTTTAAATAATATAAAAGGTATGCTTGTGAAAAGCAAGTAAAGAATGTGCTGGAAAATCTTCAGTAACTTATCTGAAAACAGTTGGTCATATGTTGAGAGTTCTCTGGTGGCTGACTGGAATGCTTTTTACCCCCCCCCCCATTTATTAGGTTTGAATTCCCAGAACAATTACCACTGGATGAATTTCTCCAAAAGCCTGATGTCAAGGACCCTGCAAACTACATACTGCATGCTGTGTTGGTCCACAGTGGGGACAACCATGGAGGTCATTATGTTGTTTATCTGAATCCCAAAGGAGAAGGCAAAGTATGTGTTCTCCCACTTAAATACTGAAAATGTGTGCATCTTGACGTAAACATATTTAGTTTTGTTTTTATTCACATATTCACTGAAATGTAACCGCAATTTTTTGAGGTATTATATAGAATTGCAGTTACCTTTTGAGTAACTGAAACCACCAGTGACTTAAAGTGTATTTAAAGGAGATCTTCCTCTGGACTAGCAATTTCCTGTTTGTAAGAAACTGTAGTATGACTACATATCATGACATCCTATAATCTGACTGTAAGATCTTTTTGATTTATTTTTTTTCATATTTCACTGTCTAGGTTAAACATATTTTTAGTCCATTTGGCAGGGTTAATGGATAACTTCAAGAAGCCAGGTAGCCCAGTTCACTTAAGAAATTACTGCTGAAGGATAACTTCTGGCTCCTATTTTTCAGCTGACCTCCAGTAAATTATCATCTTCCCTGGCTTCTTGAAATATCCAACTGACTTTTAGTTTACACAGTGGGCTCTGAAATTCTGTAATATTTTGTGCTCACCTGAGCTTTAGATGAGAAAACTGCTTTTTAATGGAGGACAGCTTGGAGCCCATATTCTGCTGATATTCTCCTAAACATTTTTTTTTTTTTTTCCTCTAAAATAGATAACTACTGGAGGCATTAACACTGACGTATGTGATCAGGAAACGGGCAATGGACAGGTAGTTAATGAATATAAGTACTGATGCTGTAAAGCATTGATAAATGTATATGTCAGTTTAGCACTGTAGTGTGCAGTGGTTTGGTAGTTTTCCACTTCATCTTCTCTTATGACACCCTTAAAAGTAACCTCTCAGGATAGAAATACAGGACTGCTATTGCTGGGGGTTTTTTTTTCTTTTCTTTCTTTTGAAAAAGGCACAAGCTCAAGGGTTGTTGGTATCCATCCCTCCCTACTTGAGTGCGTGACCTGAAAAATATGTTCTTATGAGGTATTCAGACACTGAACTGGCTGCTTCTTGCCTAGGTCAGTGACTTCCCGGCTACTTCTTGCCACCTTGTTCAGTTGCGCACTTTCTCTTTCTTGCCGACTGGCTCGGTTGCTCACTAAGTAGAGAAGTAAGAATGAAAGACCACAAGCTTGCTGCTTAAAAACAAGCCAACTTTCATTTTTTATCCTGACAGGTTTCCTGTCGACAAAAGAAATTTGTCGAGTAAAATACTTTTCTAATAGCCTTCTAATAGCCTTCTAATAGCCTTCTAAAGTAAGCATTTGTTCGGTCTCCTGGGCCACATATCATTTTCAGGGCAATGAAGTTCTCTATGCAGATGATTAGAAGTTTGCCATGAGACTAATATGGAAAATGGAAGCTTCTGTCTGCCTGCTGAAACAAGTATTTTGCCTGCTGACAGATTCCTTTTAACTTAATGGATTATCCCACCTACCTAATGGGATGGGTACTGTAGTGCTTAGAAAGCCCTGCCCTAATATACATCACCTTTTTTTTTTTTTCCCCCTGTCTGATGGGAGAGGCATTAGTGTTGACTCACCACAGTTAGAACCATTGATGCAGCAAGGCTATCACAGGCCTTCTCTTTCTAGAGTTCTACAGTTGACAACAGATGGGACTTTGCTAGTGGAACTTGAGGGATGGAGAAGTGCTAATTTAGGATGATGTCTGCGCATTGAGGTCAGATGACCAGAGGTTGCGTGTCCTTTGTTTTAGTGTAAAATGCAACAAATCCAGCACAATTCATACAGCAATAAACCATATCTAGCAGGTGTGTTGTGGTGTAATGACAGATGGCTCCATCACAGTAGACATCAAAGATTAGATATCACCAGCTCACCATACTGAAAGCTGTAGGTAGAACATTGATTCGCCACCCATAAAAATCAATGTTTTAAAGCCGCCCGGGGACTACTGCCTGAGGAAGAGTGTCCCAGCAGCCTCAAATTGTCACTTGGCTGTTGACTAAATGTCCTACATTTACTTTTCAGTATGGTGCATGATCTATAATCTTGTATTTAGTTGTGTGACAGTGCGTCCTTCTATATATAGTATTTAGGGAAATGCATACAAAGCCTGTTTAGTGTTGCTGAAATGGAACACTTATCCAGAATCTTCATTTCAAGTAAATGCCTCTGGTGGTGCTCTGAACATGGTTGGATGAGACTCTGATTTACTCAAGGCAACTGTGAACTGAGAGTCCACCCTTGCTAAAGTAGGGTTTTTAGTATTAGCAGCACATTCACCATAGTCTTCCGTTTAGATTAACGTCTGGCACTCTTGTTTTGAGTGTCAGATAAACTATTGCTTCAGTCGATCTTCTGACAGCAGTCAACAGTAAGGGAAGCTGACAATTGCTGAAGCAATATAAAAAAAAGTATGTTAGGCAGTAAAACAGATGAAAAAAATATAAACTGCAGAACAGAAACTGACCCACTGTACAGCATTAGCAGATACTTAAGTATCTTGCTAGGTGCATGCTTTGTTCTCACTTTTACATGTAAACGCTTCCTGCGATCCCTGTAGGTCGTGTAAAGGTCAACTGAACTTGCTTTTAAATTCACTAAATACATTCACGGTGCATCAGAACTAAAGGTGTGTAAAATCTTTGTTTTCTTTAAAAAGCAACCGCAGCCTGTGTAGAAACGCCTGTCCCCTGGCAGCATGCTGAAGAGAAGGACCCTTGCTCTGTTTGTAAGCAGTGGTCTTTGTGCAGAGTCTGACATTCCACCATAATATGCATACTTGAGCCTTATGGCAAGAACAGCGGCACTGTAGTTTCACTTGCTGTTGAACATGCTGGTGTTTATATATGTTTGTACGGTGACTAATTTATCATTCATTTGTTTTGTTATTCTTTTGCTTTTTGACCAAGTTGCATTTTAAAATGGGGTTATAAGATCTGAGGCCTTAAGTGTATGTGAATCCTAACAAATATTTTTCTCCCTGTAGGTCTTGTAAATATACTGTTGAAAGCATTTTGTGATATCCGTTTTAAAAATGCAAAAAAAACCCAAAACAATTTTGCTGATCTTTTCAGAAATTTAGAGCGGTCTTGTGTTCTCTGCCGTTATCTCGGAGACTGTTTTTGCCTTTCTAGTTCTTATATTGGACTGAACATGTATGGCTGAACCTCAGCCGTAACACTGTCACAGCACTAAAGACTATATTAGAACATCGATACCACCGACATTAACGATAATCTTCCTAAAGTTGTTAATATATGAAAGCTTTGATGCCTATTTGCTGTACGTCAAATTATCGTCGTCAAAATATTTGTGGAACAATTTGTCAGATATATTAGTAAATTTGTTGTTCCCATACTTAAAGCCAACACTGAGAGAAATGTATGTTGCCATTACTGACTTTTTTTTTAGAAATGGTAGCTGGCTCTGGTGAAATAAATAGTGGCAGCTTTCAATTTTTTATGCAAGGGACTGCTAGCTATGAAGCTAGTGCATTAACATAATGACAGCTGCCACCAGATCGCTTCTACGATCTGGTAACCGGGCGCGCCCCCTGCCCGACACCCCCACCTCGTTTCCTGGGCTCCGCTGCCCTTCCTGCCGGCCCAGGACCAGCTTGCTGGGTGTCAGCGGGAAGCTGGGGAGGACTATGGGACCAGGAGCGATGCATATTATGTCACTCCTGAAGTAGAGCAATAAGCTATTGAAGTGTGATCTGCACTTCAATAGCTTAGAGTGCAAAGGTGATACTAGGGGTCTTTTGGACCCCCAGCATCACCTTAAAGAGTACCTGTCACTGCCAATATGCAATCACATGGGGGGCTTGTAAGCCCCCCTATGTGATAGCATTTAAAGTAAAGTAAAGTTTAAAAAAAATTTCAAAAAATATATTTTAAAGGAGAACAATGGTGTCAGTGTTTTTCCCCATAGTTCTCCTTAGGGTAACGGGAGGACACAAACTAGCGTCCTCCCGTTACCCTAAGCTCAGTATACTCGCGGTATACTGAGACGCCGGAGCGGATCCCGACATGGACGTCGAGATCCGCCCAGCTGCGTGAGTGACAGCTGGCTCTGCCTATCTAGAGGCAGAGCCAGCTGTACCCACCCCGTCCGTTCTGCCATTCAGCACTGGCAGATGGGAGAGGGGAATCCAGCCCCTCCCCATGTCACGGCAGAGAGCCGTGACAGGATCGAGAGGTGAGCGAACCCGGTATGTGTTTGCTCACCTCCCGATCTACTGAGCCGACCTGTGACAGTCTCATTGTCACAGGTCGGCTAGAACTATGAGGTGAGTGGAAATCACTCATCTCATAGTTCTCCTTTTAAAAACTTTTTTTAACTTTAAATGCTATCACATAGGGGGGGCTTACAAGCCCCCCATGTGATAGCATATTGGCAGGGACAGGTACTCTTTAAGGTGATGCTGGGGGTCCCAAAGACCCCTAGTATCACCTTTTACACTCTATTTTATTCTATAGGTTCTAGGCTTTCAGTAAATATTTAATGTTTGGTGGTTTTAAGTAATTTTCAGGTGTAAAGTGTGCATTATAACATAGATGCAAAAATGAAAAAAAAAAAAAAAGGCCTTTGTCCTTAAGGGGTTAACAAAAGTGACCAAATAAGATAAATTCATTTATTGGGTTTAGCTATGCTTTAGCACTACGTCTGGGGAGGTGGTCTGCTCATTTGTTCACATCTGCTATATGCTGAATGAGCCCCTAAACCACTTTTACATCACTATATATATTATTGATTCAGTCAAATGACAATGTTAAAGGAGAAGTATTGGGAGAGTAAAATGTACTATTCCAAATACTATCACAAGCCAACTCTAGAGATTGAGATTTGAGTGATCACAAAACGCTTGTTTCTCAGCTCAGTCTTTTCCATGCAGAAAACAAGTGAGTGACGGTCACTGCTCCCCGCAGGGATTTATACAGGAAAGGGGGCAGGCACAGCTGGCTCTGGCTCTAGAGAGGCAGAGCCAGCTGTCGGCATATAGCGGGCATTAGCTCACTATTTGTTGAGTTGGAGTCACAGGGGTACATTATACTCCTGTGATCCAAAATAGATCTAAAGCCAAAAAAGTTTGGCTTTAGTACTGTTACTGAATAGATAGCAAGTTACTTAGTGGGTCATCTACAGCTATAACTTTTTTCTTTATTATAGAAAAGAACTGGAAATTTGGCAAAGGTTGTTTTGCTGTTTGGTGTTTAGCCCATATTTCTCATAATCGTTACTAGAGGTGCACCGGAATTAAAATTTCAAAAACGAAACGGAAATTTAAAAAAAATGTCAGGCCGAAACCGAAAATGTTTTTTATTCTAACGTTTTCAAATAAATATTCATTTTTATTAAATATTTTTAAGTTTTAGGGGCTTCGGGGAAATTTTAGGGGTCTAAACGGACCTCTGATATTTCTCTTTTTAAATAGAAAAAGTGATTGAGGACATAGTCCTCAATCTCTCTTTCTGCAGCGCCAGTTATAAATGAACAGGAATCCTCTGAGTGTTCCTGTTCATTCATAACATGAGAACATAGTATGTTTTACTACATCCACAATCATGAATGAACAGGAGGTGATGTAGATCAGGCCTTCTTAAACTTTCTCCACTCACCCCTTTTTGGCCAGAAAATTTTTAAGGGACCAACGTCGGTCGGTGTCTCCTCCCTCCCCTAGCGTAAGTCTGTGTCTCTCTTCCCCCCAGCGTCGGTCAGTGTCTCTCTTCCCCCCAGCGTCGGTCA